CACAGGCCCTCTTTCTTCCCCTGCTTTAATGATGGAGAGAAATGTGTCTCCAAAAGGCTGCAGATGCTTACAATGTGCTCCACAGGCGTAAACTAAGACGTACACATGAACACACACAAATAAGAAGCAATCATTTTACAAACGCATCCACCTGATCATTTATGCACAGTTATTACCTTCAGCTCACAGATCTGATCATTTTCTCTTTCACCTTCCTGCTGCTGGTCTGTGGGTTGTTGTCAGACTGTGTTTGTGCTCATTGTTGGGCATTAATTAATATTTTCAGGAAGGAGTCGCTCTCATGACTCATCAAGTGATGTCACTGACTGAGTAACTGGTGGGATGCTCTTTGAAAAAGTAGTGTAACAGGGTCATAAATCACATTGTTATAATTACACAAACCGTTCCTTTTATACCTGACTTTTAGGACCTCCAAGCCTGTAGTTATGTTCATTATCAGTTAGAGCCCCTCCTCATTCTTTTCTTCTTCTTCTTTGGTGCAACCCTATAAATACAGTGTACCCCTTTTGCCCCTTTTCTACAATTCCCCTGTGGGAGAGGTGGGTGTCATTTCTTCCCAACACTGTAAAACGCTCGTATAATGCATATTTAGCCACCTGGATGTTTCTGATTGTGATTTTAGTTCAATTATTGTCATTATTAAGCCTGTTTTTGTTAGATGTTACAAGTGTGTGGTATGTGTGTATCATACATGGGTTTTAGGCGGCATAAATGCTAGCATGAATATATACTCCTTGCTAGCTTGGAAGTTGTGATGGGTTGAGCTAACCCTCTTCCCCACTGTTTGTATTTGGTCGTAGGAGCTGGAGCGGGCAAATTATTTACTTGGAGGCCTTTCTTTCTTTTACCTTTTTTATCAGACACAACGCAGAATCACGCCGGTTACAGTAGCAGGTACTGGTGAGTATAAGTGTTAGCTAAGTTTTAGTTATATATAATCTGTCTGCCTCAGACATCGTTGTGTTTCTCTGCTCTACAGTCCAGTGTGGACGTTCACTCACCCTGTCCTCATCCAAAATGGGGCACTGGTACTCGTCATCATATCCATCAAACAGTTGTCCTGGGGGGGAAAAAGATCCATGTTTCATATGCAGAGTTCAGATTCAGTGTGATTGAAAGCAGGGCCGTCAACAGAATCATTGGCTGTAAATCACTTTGTGTAGACGAGTTAGTGAAAGTGTAATAATTGTACTGAGAACATGATTCCTGCTTTGGGTCACAGTGTGCTGTAGGTACAAGAACATGGAAAAGATGGTGCAGACAGCTGCACCTGGTACAAATGCCAGGATGTTGATGGCTCCGCCCTCGTGCAACACAAATCATGTGTGTGACATCAGGAGAAACAATATGATGAGTCTGATCCACTCATGTACCAGAGGAGATCTGTGAGGGCACAGCAGCTGTGACAGCCGTCACCTCCACAGTCAGCCTTTGTGTCACAACACTAGTTTATTCTCATCAGGAACACTTTGTCCTGGTAGATGTTTCTGTCTTAGTGTCCATTAGTTCCCAAAGTTCCTTTACCTTCCTGGGCCAGGTCTCCTATGTTGACATAGGTCAGCCCCGTGCGCTGGGCCAGCTCCTTTCCTAGAGTGGTTTTCCCAACTCCGGGAGTCCCTGTAGGAAGAAGAGTTAACAGCTGAATTCAAATTCAAAGTTAGTCTATGTTAAAGATTTGACTTTATCCCGTCTGGTGATGAGCATCCGATTGATTCTGCAGTAAAATGCTCAGTTTTGTTCTTCA